GGTTCAGAAAAAGATGGCTGAAAGCTATACAAAATACAATATTATAATACTACTTTCCTGCCTCATTCTTTGCTTGGGACTTGCTGTTGCATTATGAGAAATGCAATTCTTCTTTTATTTAAGGGACTTCTTCCAAATTCCTGAAGCTTTACTTTGAAGCTATATGTTTATACAGAGTTAGGCAGGACTAAAAACCTTTATCAAATAGGCTATTTTAAGCTCCGAAAGACAAATGAACAGCAAAATTTCAACTATTTACCAGCTTGCATCACAAACAGGATTAACACAAACAGGCAGTCCAGGCTTTCTAGGAATCCAAAGCTCATTATAGAAAGCAGTCCTACTTTAGGAAATTATTTGAATGTGTACTTAAGGAGAGAGTTTTGTCCTCCTTATTGCATTTAACAGTATCTGGTTATTGCATTTAACAGTGGCTTTATTCAAATTCAAGCCAAAAGAATTTTCTGAATTCTCTTGCTGCCTGTTATCAAAGACATTCTACGTAAAACACATGAAAACACTGCATTTTTATTTCCATCCGTGAGAATAATACCATGTCTCTTTCCTAAGGTTGCAGATGCATATGCTGAATGGGGCCCTCTTGGCATTGCTGTTTCCTGTTGTTAATACACGACTGGTGAGTGTACTGTACTTTTCCTCCTCCTTTTTTATTTACTTTGAAAAGATTTTCTTTGGAAAGATGTTAGACCTTTGCTTTGTTTGGCCTTTTAAAGTTGATTTTACCAGGCTGTAGATTCCTGGTACTGGTCACTACGACGGAGCCAAAATACCAATCTCAGGATTTTTTTGTGTTTATAAATCAGTGTGGAAAGCTAACACTGCTGTATTCTAAGTGCAGAAAAAACTACTTTGTCAATTCCATCTTAGCCTTTAAATGGAGCAAAAACCTAAAGGCTTTGAAAGAGGCTTTCATAGGTTAGCATTGTGGCCTGTGGTTGAAATTCAGTTTCAGGCTTTTCAGACTATGTGTAAATGTAAGATTCCTCAGGCATGGAAAATGCCAAATGTTGGTGGTGGCTGTCACCCCCTCTCCCCCAAGATTAGGCACAGCACGTTTCTTTTTTCCATCCAAGTTTTCAAATCTGCTATAAAGCTCCTGTCTCCTGTATTGCCAAGGAGTATTTTAAAGAGCTGTTCTGCATGCATAGGTAGGGGGTGTGTGTATATGTATATGCATATATCCTAGATGCTTGTTCATTTTTTGTCATTTGACTTATTTGCAAAAATCTGTTGTTGCAATTATTTAAACATCTGTTTTAAGATAGAGTTCACTTAAATTTATCTGCTTGTGTGTTTATGGTGTTGGGTTAAAGTACTCATATCCATATGGTGTGTGAATTAATGAGATTATTCATGAAGCTGTTGTGGACTTTGGACTCCATTACAGATCTCATTAGTGGGTGTCCATTTGCAAATCTTGACTGAATAAGATTTAAGTGTAAAAATCTGCCTCTGTACCGAACTTTATGGACGATACGCTGTGTTGATTGGCCACGGCGGTAGCTAGCAGACCTGAAAACTGATGGGTTTATTGTCTGCTTAAGGTAAATGGTTTCTTCTTTCCCCGCTTTAAGACTACAAAATTTTGCACTGAGACCCAGTTTAGTGGCTAGAGAGAGGACAATACATCTGTAGGCTTTTACATGTTAAAAATAATCCTCCATAAAGCATGACACACACATGCACGGGAGATTGGATCATATTTTTTAGATTTCAGTGGATTTAGTAGCATAACAACCCTGGATTTCTTTCAAGATTATGTTGCCCTTCCCAATCTGGTAACTACATATATTTTTTTCTATACTATAACAGTTTATGTGCAGTTTGCAATTATATTTTAACAAAACTTGATACCGATGAAGGGGCATCAAATGAATAAAACAAGTGTTTTTTTCCTGATAAGAACTCTTTTGTGTTTCAAACTATCTGGTTTTTAAGTAAATGTAAACTTTAGCATAATAAAATTATTTTTCTGGGTAACCTTTTAAGGATAAAATGTTGGAATATTTAATAAATCATTAGCTTGTATTTTCTCTGCCATTATCATAGATTTCATTCATATTAGGGCAGTGGTGATTAAACAGGAAAAATACAGACTACAGAATTATAAAATTCTCTCCTTAATTAGGGATAGAGGAGCCAAAGGATAATGTCCAAGAGCAAATATTTTTGGAATAAATACAACTTAGGATATTTTTGGCCGAACAGCTGCTCGCTAGGCTGTTCTCTTTTCAGTGTTTCTTCTGGCACAAGATAATGTGGGTGATGTTTTACAGCACTGCTGCTTTGACCCAGATTCTCTCATGGTAGACACACATTCTGGTCTGCGACAGTCACTGTAGCTGTTTACACTGTCATTGTCCTGAAAGCAATAAATGTCTCTTAAAACTTAGTAGGAAGTTCAAAAAATTGCAATAGTCCTGCCCGTGCTGTCTACTCTGGTTTCTCGGATCTAACTGAAAACCTTCTGATTCAGTCAAGAGTTGTTGTGTCTCTCTGCCTCAACTTTTTAATTTCAGTGTCATGGTATTTTAAGGCCTGTATTTTAGTATGTGCATGTTTCATACAAAAAATTTGTATGCTTAGTTACGCCTGTAAACAGTTGTAAAATATAGTGCGTGGCACAAAGAGCATGAAAAATTGGGCACCTAGCCCACCTGTTAATTTAGAAGCAAGGAGGGAGCGAGCTCTGAGGTCAGTGGGAGCTGGAAAACAGGAGACTCCCCTTGCTTGGAGAGATTGAACCAAACTGATGTATGGCCTAAGCACCAAAATGCCTTGCTGTTACCATTTGTAGCGTAAAATGTGTTTTATCCTTATGAGTTATTTGATGCACAGCTGGATGTTGTCTCCTTGTAGGTAGTTTTCAGTGCCTTCAGCTGATGTTCTCCTAAACCTCTCCCTTCCATCTGGATTGCCTGTTAGTTATTTTACAGGCAGCAGGTGATTACTGTTGAGCTGTCATCTCTTTTTGGAGAAGCCTTCTCATTTAGCAAGTTCAGCAGTAGGCATGTACACACGAGCTGCAAATTGCATATCATTACGGGAGATAAAAGCAGTGAGATGCAGGAGAAAATATTAGATGTTCAGTTTTATTTGTATATGTCAATAACCTGAAAGGGGCAAGAGGCAGAAGATACAGAATGAAAGAGAGTAATTGCTTCACCAGCTGACGGATGTTTGGTTTGGAACTAGGGGGTGTCAGGATTTTGGTTCAAAGTGTCAACCTGTTCAAACTAATTTCCAGAACACCTCTTACGACATTTTGTGGTACAGCCTGTTAGGGTCACATATTTTTGCTACCAATTATGTTACTTAATGCATTGTAAGTATTCTCTTTGTATATATGATTCAATGCTAAATTATCCTGAAAAAGAAATTTTTGGAAGCTTCTAGCATAATTTGACACTTTCCGTTTTCTTGTAATGTATCTGTTAATTTTTTTAGCACCTCAGTCATTTCAAAACTATTCTTAAATATTTGGCTGTTGCCAGTGGAAATGGAGAGCTGAGATATTCATTGAAACTATGGTAGAAAGTTTCTACCTTCTGTTGTTTTAATCTTTCAGTGGCACTACACTCAGTAAAATCTTCTTGGACTGTAATGGGTACCTGGGACAGTGTTAAAAACCCCCGGTAGTCTGAAAGATGAGGTCAGTCTTTTCTGTTCTTTCCAAGAAAATATTTTCCTGCCTTGGCATGATGTTGAGGTGCCAGCAATTAACAGTCTTGAGCAACAGATGCACCCACTTGTATTTATTTGGCAACTAAATATTCCAGTTTTGCAAAATTATTTACAATGTGCTGATGGAGTTAATTTTTGTGCTTTGGAATAGTCATTGGATAAAGACAGAACAGTTTGTTTCTTATTCAGTTAATGCTTGTGAGTTCTTCTTAACCTTTCAGAAATAAAAGGGTATTTTCATTTTCTCTCATAATTTCATTCCTTTCTCTTGATGCAAATCATTCTGTCAGCATTAGTAATTCACATGGAAAACGGGCTAATCTTTTATGACATATAAGTAAATAGAGAAGAAGATGCTAAAGAAATCAAGATTGTTAGGTTCCCAAGTGGGAGCCTAGAAAGGAGTTGAAAGATTTCTTTTTACTCTGAATTTATATTATATGGAATACAGTGTAGGTCCTGATAAGCCACGAGAGTAAATTCTTTAACTGCCACAAAGACTCCAACTGTTTGGAGAGTAACTGGTTTTGTTTGAACTTTCACATTGCATTTATCAAATTTTAAAAGCAACTCTTTCCACTGGTTTAAAAGTGGTTTTTTTGCAAGCTGATGTCCTGAAAATGTTGACATAGATAAAGTAAAAAACAGGACATGTCCAGAGGTGTTGGACTTGCTGTCTCTGCTCACGCAGCTGAGATGGTGCAGTTTTAATGTTTCCAGAAGCTGCTATATTCTATTATTAGAACTATTTGGCTTGAGAGGTACGCATTCTAAATCTGTTTTAGGAACAGAATCATACTCGGAGCAGTACTTACAGCGTACTCTGTGTAGCGCCTCTGATCGCTGCCTACAGCATTCCTGTTGACTGTTAATGCAGTAATTCACTGTACTAAATAGTTTGTCTGCAATGCCTGTGCCCACACAGCAAAATGGAGTAAGTTACGGTAGCACATCGTGTCTTTTCTAAATTGGCTTAATCAACTGGCACAAGGGAAAATAACGGAACAGTTGCACATTGGGGGCTGTTGAGAGATTGTGCTCGGTTGCTGGTAGATGCTAAAGCCAAGGTTTCTGCATCTTTTGGCAGTTACCTATGCTGTGTGCATCCAAATGATACGGGTGTGTAAGTGGAGTCTACAATTACACTTTTATTTGGTAATGTAAACTATCTCTGCTGGTGGTGATAAGTACTCTCAATATTGTCTCTAGAGGAAGTGGAAAAATACTATTTCTGATATTATTTACCTCATATAATTCCTGGTTTTAGACTTGACTCTACAAATGCCTGGTTGTATCCATTGCATCGTTCATGTGAGCTGATTTGTATAATCAAATTGAGTGACCAGAAGACAGTGGTGCCTTTTTATGAGACACAGTAAACATCAAATACAGTGCTAGTCAAATATTCAAAACACTGATAAAAGTCAAACCAAATGCATGCTGGTGAGATCAGCAGTGCACTGAACAACGCCTTTTCTGGATTCCCTCGGTGAGCATCATCCTCTGTAGTGAGAGGCCAAGGGTTGTGGTTTAACCCCAGCCCCACCAGCCACTCGCTCACTCCCCCCTGGTGGGAAGGGGGAGAGAATTGGAAAGGCGAAAGTGAGAAATTTGGGCAAAAGTGAGAAATTATCTCTTGGGCCGAGATAAAGACAGTTAAAATTGTTTGGGAGCAGGTGTGGATTCTGATTCCTTCCCTCTGTATATATTCCCCGCCCTAACAGGATTAATTGATAATGAGAACTAGATAAAGTTCATCCATAAAACTGATCAATTAATGCTACTTTAAGGGAATTATCATTCCCTGCACTGACTGGATTGAGACACCTACTTGAAACAGAGATTGCTTGTTGGGACTCATCAGTATGAGTTCATCTTCATTACGGACAAGCGGGTGTATGGCAGGAAAACGGAATGAAATGCTCTGCCCCTAAAATATAAAGAAAAGGAATTGTTGCAAATAAAATCTGGGATGCTGCTTTAGACCATCATGCAGATGGGTGACGGCCCTGCTACTCCTTTATTTCACGAGGATTTGCTGTTGCCAATATTAACCCAAATTTTTTTTCTCAGTCTGCTCTTTCGCGATATTCAAATACATGGGAATGTCTTTTCTGATCTATGCCAGATGTATGAGCTGGTGCCTGAGCTGTAGAAGTGCCTGACTAGTGAACAATAACTTGAGCATGGGTCAGCTTCTTGGCTGTTTGGATGTATGCTGGAGAAATGAGTCCTGGTAAGACTGGAAATAGCCTGTTTTCCAAATGCCACTTGGGTTTTGGGTTTTGTTTCGTGGTGTTTTATTTTAAGTCTTCATGTCCGTTTTATAGACCCTTCTTCTAAGCTTCTCTGGCAGCTGTTTCTTCTCTGCCAATAAGTAATTTGCAATCACAATCCTAAATATGCTGAGATGTAACCAGTATGTCACGTGGGCTTGGGAGCTGTTTGCCCCATGATTTTTGTATTGTACGGCTTTATATAGGTTCCTGCTCTGTTTAATCTGTCCTGTGGTCTGCTTGCAGGTAAAAAGCAAAATCTATGATTCTGGTTTATTTCTTTGATTACTGGTGATGTTTAGGAAACTAGTTACTGGTTATAGGTTATGGATCTAAGAAGGTGCCTGGTACATGTTCACTAGGCTTCACGCTAGATGTGCTACAGAAAAGACCAGAATCTGGGAGCTGAATTCCTTCTATTCCTCTTTCTGCTGTACCCTGCTGTACTCTGCTCTCTTTGTAGAGAGCTCTTGCACAGTGCAGTGCTTGAGCTGCTATTGCAAATATAAGGCCAAGGTATAAATAATTAACAGAGGGAGGAGTACTTTCAGAACACAGAGCAAAGTGGTAACCTCCTAGCCCACTGAAAACCAACTGCGGTGTCTAAGTGGGTTTAAATTAGTTTAGAGTAGTATAGTGTGCTGTACTCTTTTGGGGGAAACTCTCGTCTGAATATCTGACTTTGGGGCTCAACTCTACCGCTGTCTTGAAGAGATTTTTCTAAAGCTCAGTGCAGTCAGTGGAAGGACCTAGTTGCTTCTGCCCTAAGGAAACCGGTTTAAGTTAGGACATCAGGTACGTGCTCGGAGGAGTGCTGGTGATGGCTGTGACTCTTCGTGCTCGGAGATGCGAGGGTGAGCTCTAATCCTTCCTGGTACAGTTTCTCCTTTCCACAGTCTCACAAGCGATCTAGGAGTCTAAACTCTGCTAGGGGTTTAGCTAGACTCGTAGAACTGTAGGTGACTTACCTGCTCCTGGGGTGGAGGTCTGCTGCCTGCTCACTATGCTGGGTGCTTCCCAGAGGGCCTTTAGCGTGCATTCAGGGGATGTGGCACTTCCGAATCTGCATCGTACCGGGCTGATATGGGGACTGGAGGCACACGTGGCTGCTTTGAGCCAAATTCTTTCTGGAGGAACAAAGCACCATTTATTTTCTAACAGAAGCTTCATTACAAAAAGTAAAAAGTGAATAGTCTGAATATTTGTTTCCAGACTACTTTGTTAGCATGTTTTGATCTTGCATTAGAGGAATTGTGTATATCAGTATTAGTTTGGTGTGCTTTGAAATGTATATGATTTTATACCAATGTTAAAACCTTTGAATGGATGAAGCAGATTTACTTTGCCACAAGCAAGAATCTTTAAAGGGGAAAAACATACTTATTGTCTTGAGTAACAGAGTAGTTTGTCCTCTGTACTCATTTACAGTGTTAAGGGAGCCTAGACTAAGTAGAAGGCTAAGTAGAAGAGCCTAGACTAACTAGAAGAAATGGGTAATTTGTCCTTTTGTCTCATACCATTAGTTGTTTTAGGATTCTGAGTAAAGGAAACCAGATGAAGTGCAGGAAGGGTGATGCTGGCAGCTGGCAAGGGAGACAGGAGTTTAGTACGAAAAAAAAACCCTAGGAAATAAATTTACAATTAATATATAGAGTTCAGATGAGTCTGTCTTGGTAATAAATACCCAGTGATTCTGAATGTCTCTGGGGACAGGTGTGGTTGAAGAAATGTGCCGTGAACATCACTGGTTTGTTACTAGGGACACACTGCTCTTCGGAGTGGCCGCTGGGTTTCCACAGCGGCATCTGGCAGCAGAGGCCAAGTCCCTTGGGGCCTGTGAAGAGGATCTGCCTTGGAGACTGTTGGGGTCTGGATTTAAATACATGTGGCCTTCAAGGGTGCCTGTGGTCATTAAGTTGGAGGGACCAACTTAATATTTTGATTTACTTTGTTCTGTAAGTGTTGCTTTGATTTATTTATTTATTTTTTTTAAACTTCTCAAACTTTACCGCTTGCTGAAGTGCTTGCTTGTTTTCACAAAGAGGTTCTTTAAATCCTAGATTGATGGGTGATCCCTGCTACCTTGTCTTCACTTGCACTTTCTCTTTGCACGTAAAAGGTGCCTATCTGCTATCTGTGAGTGAGTCTTCTATTGATAAACCCATTGATAGTCAAGACCTTTAGAGCTCGGTGAGTCAGTTGCTCAGCACAGCTTTATGGTTCATCTTTGTGGTTTTTCTGTTTGCTGTAGCTTGGCTGTACAACTTGAGTGCATGGTTGTACAGAAATTCTGCTTTTTGCAGCTCTATACCAGGAAATGCACTTGCATAATTAGCTGGGCTTCAGAACAAGCAATCTTTTATAGTGGGGGAAAAATAAAAAAGATGTTTTGTTTTACACAAAAAAAATATTGTCAACACTACTGCAGCAGAACAACTGTTACTGTGTTCTCAGAAGTGTCCAGAGCGTAGTGTTTGTGTAACTGACCCTCACAACTCCGCCAGTGTAGAAGCCCTTATGAAACCACAGATACTAAATAGAGAATGCTCCTTGGCAGGAGTGAGTGCCTCACGTTGTGCTGTTTATATCGGGAGCTTTTGTTTCTGAAGTGTGCCCAGTCCAGCTGGGAGAGGTACAGCTTCTTCTCCAGTTAGGAAAACTGCTTTAGCCTCTTTCCAAATAATTTTGATTCCCTCACTTTGCTCTCTGTGCCTTTCAGCAAGGGACAGCAGGAAAGGTTCAGATTTGGGAAACCTCACAACTTCCAGGGTAGGTTCAGGCTAGAGGTAAGGAAGAAATTTTTTACAATGAGGGTGGTAAAACACTGGAACAGGTTGCCCAGAGAGGTAGTGGAGGCCCCATCCCTGGGAACATTCAAGGCCAGGTTGGATGGGGCTCTGAGCAACCTGATCTAGTTAGCAGTGTCCCTGCTCACTGCAGGGGGGTTGGACTAGATGACCACTAGTGGTCCCTTCCAACCCTAAACATTCTATGATTCTATGATTCCATGAAGTTCTTGCTTTTGCATACTATTATCTTGCTTGGTTTTCTGTTTTGATACATAATACTTGGAATAAAATAACCCAACAGATTGTATGGAAGATTTTTTTAGCTTGGTCTCCCACGAGTTGGCTGAACATCTTGGAGGTTGCAATCAGGCGCTGATAGTGTTCAGCTGGGGGATGCCAGGACTAGCAGAATCCAGCTGTTGATTTTAGCATCTTTTACATTCAAAATAGGATATAAGAATTGTTGTTGAATTTAAAAGATCACTATATGAATTACCAGCTACTTATTGATAGCTATTTAGGAAGAAAACCAAACTCTGTTTCAACCTCTCTTTACTTCTGTTGATGTAGAAATTTTTATGTTGCTGTTTCAATGCTATGACTTCAGCATCTCAGAACAAGAGAAAAGGAAGGCTTTTTTTTTTCTTTCCCTCCCCTTTCTTCCCAACAGACAAGCCATGCTGGTGGGACTTGCATCTGGATTCACTTTGTCCAGTAGAATGATGGAATAACTCTGCATTTGAACCAAAGCTAAAGGCTTTGTGAGATTTCGTACTTGTGTGGTGGTATTGTCCAGTTTTCACTTCTGAAAAATAATGGAAAAGTATGTCTCATCAGCTTCGTAAGCGAGCTGCAGCAAGAAGTTGAATTCTGAATTTTGAATGTGAATCTTTCCTACTCCAGTTTTAAATGTGTTGCTTTAGTTTAATAGACAGACAAAGGCAAAGGCTTTTGCAGCTGGGAATAACTTTCAAATACAGTGCCTCACCTTTTCTAACTGATAAAGAGCTAGAATTAGTTGGGTCTGGATTAAGGGGCTCAAATTAAACTCAGAGTTGTGGTTCAAGTTATTTTTAGCACAGTATTATTTTAGCACAGTCTGTCTGACTTCTTCTCTAAGAAGTAACGTGAATTCAACTGAACACACAAATGACTACTTTTAATTTCCCCAAAGTTGTCAGCAGGTGAGAAACACCCGATTTACTACTAACTGGTAACTTGTTTACATACATCCTTCTGCAGCTTCTCTTCTTCTCTTTAAAGCCAACAAAATATTGGTTATTTTATATTTTATTTCCTATTTGGTGAAGCTTAGCAGTTTCACACATGCATGCCGATTGCTGTCAATCGGGTCTTTTGATTTTTGCACAGACCTCCACAGTAAGTACCTTTATATATTCATTCATATCCTTACATATATAAAAGACCTCATTTATAAAGTTCTGTCACTCACAAGGTAGCAATTATCTTTTCTTTCTAAATAGGTTGCTCTCATATGGAGTGTGTATAGTTTCTGGCTTGATTACTTTAGGGTTTTGCATTGGTATGGCAACTTACGCTAACTAAGAAGGAGAAAAGAACACTCATGTTATTCCTTCTTTGTTGTGCTTCTGGCTAATTTTGAGACTTGTCTACTTGAAGTGCTGCATTGCTTGTGGCAGGAGGAATGGAATGGGTACAGTTAGCTGTTCTTTCAAAGCACTGACCGTTAAGGTCATCTCTTTGCTAATATACATAGGTGATAAAATAACTAAAGTGAAGGGATTGCCACGGGAGAATAGTTCCTTGTAACTCAGTTGTTGGTGATGAAAAACATTTACAAATATTTTTCTTATTCCACAGCTTCCATTTGAAATGGAAATTTATTACATCCAGCATGTGATGCTTTATGTTGTGCCCATCTATCTGCTGCGGAAAGGAGGTAGGTTGGCAATTTATTCTGTACATATTGGTCCCATGCAATGAAAAAGCTGTGCTTAGTGGTTACTCCAGGCTTCACTCTTACCCCCTTTTTATTTTAACCAAGGTAACAAAAACTTGCCTCAGGCACTGAAATGGGAATAAAAAAAAATGGTCATTTGCCCAAAGGGGTATTGAGAATGTGTTGGCATAATGTGCACTGTCTTCTTGAGTAGCATCTCTGCCATCTTGCAACATTCTGAGTTGTTGGTGGGATGTATTTTTAAGACTTTTGCTTTCTTGGATGTCTCTTGAGAAGTACTGCAACTTAAATGAGCTGAAAAAAAATTATTATATCCCCACATCAATATTGATTGGCTAGTAAGATGAATTCCTGAAATTCAGAAGCTGTAATGAAATGCAGTGACGCTGCAATATTAGTGAAACGAACTTGCTTGCTTGTTCTCTCTTCTAACAAGATTGCTATCTTGCATTCACTTATACCGTAATAGTTCAGTAAGTCTGGGAATCCCAAATTGTTCCACTGGGCAGTGATTTTTCTAACTGTTGCTCCCTAGAGGGGAATGCAGTGTTTATTCCTCTGGTGTGATGCTCTGCCCCCCTCTAGCGTTGACATGCCTCCAGCTACATTTTGTAGCAGAGCTGAATTGTTTCATCCAGGAAATAAAAGATGATAATTTGTGGTCCAGATGTTCAGTAGCTTTTAATGAAAACCCCAGGGATGTGATACCAAGCAGCGCAATTTAGCGAATGCTCAGAAGAAGCCTAGTCAGCCTCTTCCATCGTGGTGAATCTTTCCTATTTTATACCAGCAGTCACTTAGAACCCTTCACACTTACTTCACTACAGGTTTATAACCTTTTTGTTTCTCAGTGCTGAGTGAAACTAAGTAAAAACGATCCAAAGGAAAAAGTGAAGTGTCGTACTTCAAAAGACCATTCTGTTTCTTTTGGTCTTAGCAGAGAAATACACCAGCCACGTGTAATTTTAATCCATCTTTGATATCTTAACATTCTGGCAAATAATGCTGAAGTGCAGTATAGTTGTAGAAGTTACCCAGACTCCTAAGAGGACCCCGGAAGAGGGGTGGGAAGAGAGAGGAGAAAGTGTAGTACGCTGCAGGCAATGACAAACCAAGCGCTTGTGATAATCACTAAATCGCTTCTTTTGATGCCCTTAAAGTTCCCATATAGCATCGCTTTGAGACATGTAGTTCTTTCGCTTTAGAGTTTGGCCTTGGATGTCACTTGATACGTTCTTTTGATTTTTGGTTTGGGTTTTTTTGTTTGTTTTGAAGGAAGGGTTCTCTGGGTTCTTCAGGACCTGTTTTCTGGGGCTGGTAGGGCTCTGTCTGCAGTTTGAAGGGCTTTGGGTTGTACAGTTGTCTCCCTAGTGCTGTTTGCTAAATTTTTGCCCTTTATTAATTTACAGGTATTTGCTGCCCTCTAATGTTGACACGATAGCAGTGAAATTTCTACTTTGTTGGCTGATCAAATCAGTTGAGATTGCCCTAGGCTGTGTAACTAATAACTGTTCGTTTTCTTACGCAGTTGGCTCCTGTTCACCTGACTGACTGTAATACCTCGTTAGCAAAAGGCCCATGGACTTTTGTAGTAGTTATGGCTAGTGCCACAGGAGACCTAATGGATGATATTTTGAAGGAAAAATTACTCAGCCTGAAAAATATTTTAACAAAAAAATATTTGTTAATATTTTGTCATTTCACTAGCACCTTTGTTTAAAGTGCTTTTTGCGTCACACCCTTTATCCTAACTGTATCTTCTGAAAATTGCTTTTTCATCACTGATGTTGATCAGCATGCAGCTTTATTCCTGTATTTTAAATAGAAGTTTCCATCAGTGAATCTATGCATTATGATTGGGAGAAGTAATTGAAGGGTAGTAAAAGCAGAAAAATGAAAAGGAATGCATTGTATATGGAAAAATACACTTCTTCAGTATTATTGGGAATCTGCCAGTGTTACTGATAGCCTTAATATGATCTCAGTCATAGTATTAAGATTTCTCGAAGGAAGGTTGAGCAGAACACCTGAAACAGAGTTGATTTCAGGCTCATTCTATACAGAACTGCAGGTCCAAGTTTGCTGACGTGTACCAGTCATGCGCACACATTCAGTTAGCTGTTGAAATGTTTCCTTTTTGAAAGGACACTGCGTGACAGGAAGCAAGAGATGTAATAATTTATTTTCTTTCCCTCCCTGCTATGCATTCTGGGGGCGAAGACAGGTCACGTTGCACTGGTAGAATCGCCTTTGTGCCCCCCATCCTCCCCATGTAAGTGTGGGGGCTTTACCATGCTTAGCACCAAATTGGTGAGAGAGATGTTCAGAACTTGGGCTTCAGTATTGCACAGTGAATTCGCTGAAGCTCAAGGATGTATTCCCTCTTGGGGATTAAAACTTCTGTCTCTCCTCATCTTCCCTCTCCCTCCCACTGTACCGAGTGGATATAAATTTCTATACTTCCCTTTCTAACGTACTTTCTTTCCAAGCACACATATGCATGTATACATACACATGCACGCCGGGCTAGACAAAATAAATGCTTATGCACTGTGGCTCAGACCTTTCTTGGCTGCAGTAAGAGGCTCTCATGCAAAATTGATGTAGCGCAGATGTAACAGGCCAGCACAGAAGATTCCTAACTCAAGGCAGGTCTTATATGAAGTGTATCTGCAGTTGGCAACTTTTTTTGTGAATGAACCTCACCTTGTATCAGCTGTGAACCCTGCCAAAAATTATAGTATGCATCTGGGCTGGACACAGCATTCCTGAAATAGCTGGATAGGCTGAACCAGAGCTGTAGGTCACTGTTTTCTCTTGTCCTTAGGGGGTGAGACCCTTGCTTCCCTGTCAAAAAAAGTATGAATGCTGTTGTAGCTTCTGGCTTGGTTTACTGTTGCATCATCTGAGTGCTAGGATTGGCAAAAGGGAGGTGCAATGAATGAAATGCCGAGGGGGAAGGAAGAAGATGGGAACCACGGCAGCGCAGATTTAGACGACGGAACCAACCCCTTCATTGAAAAACTCCTCAAACCACCTTCATCTACGACTAAGCTGGCCTTCTGAAGCATACAAGTACGCTCAGATAATTATACTTCATGCTACAGGGATAGAGACCGCTGATAGAAGGCTTAGAAAGATGGCAGCTGAGGAAGTGTCATGTCTCAAACAGTGCATTAACCTGACCTTCTGTGATCAAGGTATTGGAGACCTTCAGCAGTGTTCAGGACAACTTAGTTTTTCTAGCTATATACTCTTAACATGATGAAAAAAAAATCTAGTTTGCACTGCATCAGCCATAGAGACTGAGTTCTCGACTGTCTTGGTGCTTAAGCTAGTTTGTTCAGATTTCTGGATGGATTTGACAGTTATTTCAGAGCTTCAAATCATACTGAAATTTAATCAAAGTGGAATTGTTATTTCCTGGGTGCTGTGAGCAAATGATACAATTCCACTAACAGTTTGAAATAAGGGCTAATTTATAGCAGCTCCCTAGCGATGGAGTTCAGGAGAGAATCTTTCTTGTGTTTTGAGATCCCCAGCGTTATTTAGTTGACTTAATGAAGCAGAAAATGATGTTGGTATTGAGGTTTTTTTAGGATTTTGTCACTTCAAGAAGCAATCTGATGTATGAACAGCTGTACCTGAAGTTCCTGGGTATTGTGTGCTGAACCAGAGACCTTTGTATTGGTGTCACTGAATGGTGTCGTGGTTCTGGCACTTCAGCCTGCAGGGGGAGATAGGCTCCAGCAGCCACTCTGTCCAAATGGCTATGCAAAGTCTCAAAATTCGTAATTCAAGTGCAGGTTGTCCATACTGTGCGGAGAGAGTAAATTGATTTGGTTGTATTTGGGGGGGGGGGGGGAAAGGGGAAATCTTCTTTTGGGGCCAAAACTGACAGTAATGGCCTTGCAAATTCTGGACAGTCCTGTGGTCTGGCTCCATGTGTTTTAAGAGCTGATTCACCGTTGTACAGCTGTGCACAAGTGGACAGGCATATACACCTTAAATAATTAAGTAGGTGAATTATTTGCTGGGAGTCAGAATTTTCAGCTTATAAGGCAAGCGCTGTACCTTTACAAGCAAAAAAGAAACTGTTCCTCTGACTCGAGTCATAAAGCCCTTTTCTTTTGTGATCCAAGCGTCTTCAAAAGTGGCATCAGAAGAGATGAAGTTCTATGGCATTGTCTGAAAGTCAGTAGAAGTTGATGATTAAAAGTGGCATCAGAAGAGATGAAGTTCTATGGCGTTGTCTGAAAGTCAGTAGAAGTTGATAGATTTTTTTTATTTTTTTTTTTCCTTTTTTCCCTGCTCATGCAGCATGCCTCTGCCGCGCTTCGGGAGATGGACAGAAGCAGCTCTGCAGAGCCAGCTTTCTTAAGGGTGGTGCAGCGTTTCTTACCTAATGAGAAGCTGGGCTAAGCTGTAAGATGTAGAACATAGATACCAAGTATGGACGAAAGGATCCTTTTTCCTGTGGCTGTAAACTAGGAAACTGCAATTAAAGCAATTGAGGATCTAAACTTGTGTTTTCCATTGACTGTTAGGACTTGCTGGCAAGAATTAGGGATTACCATACTTAAAGTCATTTCTAGCTGTTGTACCCTTTTGGAGCCACTTCCCCACTTTGTGACACTTGCCTGTATTTAGCAGTATCTTCCCACAGCTTTTAAATGGAGTTATAAAGCGGGCTTTATTATATACCTTAGTAGTAATCCAGGAACAAAATCACTGTGTATTTGAATATAGGTAGGTAGTCATAAATCTAGTTTATCTCCATCCTGATTGAAATACTCGATAATGTGCAGTACAGCTCTTTCACTGAAACCCTTAATTACTTGGAGATCTGTCAACTCTTGCATGTTATTCTCCTACTCTCCTGCTGGTAGCTTCCATGTTCCTCTTCCAGCTTTTCTCTACCTCCCCAATCCCATGTATTAGACATAAATGCCTGGTTCACTGTCCAGCAGGGCTTGTGCTACGGCACCTCAAGCAGCAGGGTGGCTGTGGCCCTGTTCAGCAGCTGGAGGTGTGCGGCCTCTCTTGTAGCTTGATAACCTTGTTTGATGATTTAAGAGAGCTGGAGAGGAAGAGGAGGGGACATGTCTCCATCGTGTGACCCTCTGAGATACATGCAACTGGGCAGTTACAGTTCCTTTGAGACTATGGTGGCCTATTATGAAACACTTAAAACTAAGTAAGGAAGTTAACGTGGCGTCCTCTGAGTGGGCCCAAGGTGTGTTAAAGACTTCTCTCTCTCTCTCTGTAGGAGATAGAGAAGTTTAGGAGGGTACGTACCAGTATAGGGAAGAGCTACTACTGCACAAAGGAAGAGGAAGAACTGCTGCTGCTTCTTTATGGAATATAAAAAATGGTTCAGGAGAGGAGCAGGTAATACAAATTCCCTGCCTGGGCTGATTCTGATGACAGTAGTTGGCATTAGGGGAAATAGAAATCCCCTGGCATAAGGCAGTATTTTGAAATGTACGCATAGGTTCAGAACAGCTGTAGAGGAAACAGTGGATTTCAGGCTCATGCTCTTGAGAACATTTTTCCTGTTTTCCACTGGAAAGGAAGTTTGGTCTCTAGGCTAGCTCAGTAGGCCACGGTACTAGAATTAACCCTTTATCAAGGGAAATAAAATGGAAATAAATTTGGCCTCACACTTTTATAAGCTTGAAAAGGAAAGAATTATAATAGTTGCGCTGAGTTTTGGATTAAGCAGCTCTACCTGTAATTGTGAGACTACTGACGGAGAGCGTGCTGGGCTGGAAAACTGGTAAAGCTCTATCAAATGCAGTGGGAATGGAAGCAAGACATTAATTAGGAAAAAGAGATTATTTTAACACCCTACTAAATTAAAAAAATATACTATATTTAGATTCTAATTTTGTAATTCAAACAGAGGAGTAATTTTCTCCAAATGCTGGAGAAAATACAAACGGAATATCACTTTCTATTAAGTTGTGTTCAAATTTTTACAAGCCTATGTTCTGAGAACTTTAAATAAAAATAATAGTTCACAAGAACACTAGAACTAGCCCAAGACATTGGGGGGGGGGAAGCAGTGTAAAAGAACTGGAGTCTCTTTGTTGATCTTTAGATCTTTACAGCCATGCTTCCATTTCCTAGATGGCAAAATTAACCTCTTGGCACGTTCAAGGTCAACAAATTCTTGTTGCAGAAGTAGATGATGAACCCTAAACTCTTCAGTCTGTGTGAAATCCTTCCTATCGATGCTATTGAAATAATGAAGTTTAATTTAAACTGAACTATCCACTGCCATGCTATTTCAACACAAGAGCAAACACACAGCCTACCTGGATGACCCTGATTTGGAACGGTCTCAACTGTCTGGGGCATGAGCATTTTTGAGAATGAGATTAGTGCCAGCCTGGCAGTTGGATTAAATTTTTGAAAGAGCTTAACACTTAAGAACTGCCTGTGATCCTTAGTGAGTGGAGAGTGAAGCTCACTGCTACCTGTTGCAGTTGATTTCCTACGTAAGCAGCAAGTAGCTTTTGCCAAAGCCGACACGGGCCATTCGAACAACCACGCAGCTGGGTCTCAGTGTTCCTGTAGCAGACTGTGTACTACAGAAAATAGGCCACACTGCTCCGTTGCACAGTCATCTGTTGAATTGCAGGACCATAGAGTAATAAAAATTGTAGGGATTATTTATCTAATGAGAAATGTACAGAAAATATCCCAGGTATGAATTTAAAATTAGTTTCCCAAAGCACACTTGGGAATCCAGAGCTCTCTGAAATGTTTTCGCATGGAGGTCATTGTTTCCTTTCTGTCCCTTGATGTCCAAATAATGTTACTGCTGAAAATCACACTATTATTTTCAGGATTGCAAAGGCTAGCAAGGAGGGATTTTTCTATTAGATAGCGAGATCAAAAGTCTGCAGAGGGTGAGAGTTGCTAATGTATTTTTTTGAAGTTTTGCAACGGAGAGAGGATGTAGCAGTGTGAAATTCTTTGCTGGAGGAACCTGAACAGCTCTCCTAAGTGACTACTGAAACATGATTCCCCGACTAGATTGAGGCTGGACATGAGAAGCTTGGGTTCAAAGCCAAATTATGCCACTGATCTGTTTTGTCATCTTGTGCAGTTTCCCTCCTCTTTTAATGATTGCTTTCTTCCTCCAGTCTTGTTTCATAGCTGGGTTCACTTCTCTGTTTTAGTGTTCATATACTACCTGCACTGTAAGTCCCCCAAATATCAAGGTCTCTGGATTCTAGCTTTTCTGAGTGTTTACCTCTTTAGACTGCCACCATCTGTTCTCAGGCTTTGTGGAATACTTCTGAAATAACACAGGAGCTGCCAACCAGGCAAGGTCACGTGAAACCAAATTTGATATAGCGCTACTCTGCCAGTTCCTGGGAGCTGTTTTAGATACCTTATTTAAATTTTGTGGTTTGCATCTAGGTTAAACGTACACCTAAAACTGCAAAGACAATACAAAAAGTTTGCAAGTCAAATGATGTGTTCTTTCCCCTGCAGCTGAGGAGGGAGCACAAAGAGTTTTTGCATAGCTTGCCTAGGTCACTTAAAGTTGGGGCAGTCAAAAATAGGGCCCTGGTCTCATGGACTCTGGCACCAACGCTAGTTGCTGCTTCTCTTGCTCTCTGTAATGAAAAACCATATTCAAGGTGATAGCATGTATCTGATGTTTTCAGGCAGTGCAGTTTAAGGAGTATCATTGCTATTTAAGTCAAGTCTCCTGTACCATTTTCTCAATGGGATACCAGCTCTTAGATCATGCTTGCTAAGTAGGTTCGAGGAATTAGACTGCTGTGAATTATTTCCCTTTACCTGTAGAGCACTCCACTTAAAAGTTATTAATGTAGAATTCACTTTTAACTTTGGATTTTGCTTATAGTTTAGACACTTCTTCTGAGCTTCGCCTACCCACTGGGTAAGAAATCTTACAAGCTGCCTTATGCTTCCACAGTAGCTTCTCTGCTCGTATTTATCGTGGTCGCACCAAGTCACAGCTTGCTTACTAAAACATGGTGTGCAGTTGTATCTTGGGTAATTGCACTAATTTTGTTGCTCGTTAAAGTCAGTGAGTGATACATGGGGTGCGTATGTGCTGCTGTCACTCACGCATACAGTCAGCTCCTTACTCTGTTGACTAGCAACGGAGGAGCTGTGTTATTCTGAGTGGACAACGAATAGATGTACAGTTGGGAGACAATAAATTGTAGGTAATTTTGAATTTGTAACATTCACAAAACAATATTTAAGTCAGATGATTCCAGCTAGCTACTGCAAAATCAACCTGAACTGGCAGGAGGGGGTCCAAACTATGGAAGGAAATGGTGCAGAAGAGAATTGTAAAAGGGCAACAGGGATTGAGACAGCAGTTCTCTAGGGATTTTAAACCGTTATATGGTGGTGTGGTAAAGCAAGTAACAGCAGCTATTTGCCTTTATCTACATACGATACCATACACAGGTGTGCTCCTACCAGCTTTAGTCTGGTGAGTGTTGCCACAGCCAGCTACACACGTGGAGGTACTTGAGTTCCCCGGAGCCCTGTACAGTATGTGCTGAAGCCTGTTGAAACTTCCTGGTAATTCCTGAACATGCTAGCTAGCAAAGGCTAATAGGAATATTGTGGTCTGTGCTGTAAGCTGTCCTTTGAGTACTGGATACACCTTCCACTATTTAACAACATCTAATGGATCAGAGAGCAGGCAAAGGCAGATTAAAAAATGCCAGTGTATTTTTGTAATCATCTGAATCTCTATAACTTCTTGTAGCAGCTGAGCAGCATGACATCGTGTGTCCTATTCTCCTGCGTCCCTACGTTAAATTATTGAAGTCATAAGGCAAATAATATTTTTTTCCCATATCTTACGCTGAAATTTTCAGGTCTGCTAGTAAGAGGCTTGAGAACTCTGTAAGCTGTTTTGGTTCTTACCATATGATGTTTGAATATTTAATTCCAGAAATAGGCTTGTATCTAAGGGTACTTTCATTAGATCTGATTTCCCTGGTACGTTCTAGATCAGGTGATACTGCACTTTGTCAGTAAATGGACAAAACTTAATGTTTCAGGAGGAGAGAGAAGGGTGAGCCCAGGAATAATGCGGTATCTGCTACTTCATTTGAAGGGGAAAAAATGTTTTACAGTATCTCTGATATCTACTGATTATAAAATTGTTTGTCGTGTACATCTGAAAATATCTCCACAGCAGTTTTCATTTAAAAGCACAGTCTGTCATTAATGGATTGACTACTTTATACAGCTTTTCTGTTCCCAGGCATTATTGGTGCAAGTGACTTTTTAATAGTTGTTAAACAACCATAAAATTAGGAAATGGCAATGAGGCTGCGCTCCAATACAGTGCTGTGCAGGAGCTGCCGCTGCCCAGGTTGGTTCTGTGCGTGCTGAAGTGGGCGCAAGTGTTGAAGTATAAATAACCCAATTTTTGAAGATTCATTGTATACCATTACTGTATTTCAAAATCATGTAGTACTTCTGTGGTAGAAAGAAGAATGAGGTAAATAATGCTGGTGTTGGTGAAAAATAGGCGAGCTAAATGAAGTAATGTAGTGTATGTTTTACTGCTGGACCAGAAGGAGGGAAGAAACCCATCAGGACGCTGCAGGTAAGAAGTAAGGCTCTCAAATATTAATTACTCTAATGGTATTGAGTAGGTTATCAGGCACCCTAACATCCACAGAGGAGAAGAGCGAGGATTATTCGTGAGTGTTTGATGGACACGGCAATTCAGCTGAATACTAATGTATTCCTTTCTTTTCAAGGTATCTACACTCCAGAACCACTCTGCAATTTCTGGTGGGCTCTTTTATCCACGGGGTTTATGTTTGTATATCATTTTAGCATCTTGCAGATTCTGGGATTGGTAAGTAAATACAGGTTAATAAATGGATAGTTTACAAGTACATTCAAAGTAAAACCACTGACTAGTTTTGCAAAGCGTCCAGATATGAGACTACTTGCATGCTAATTTCTAATTGCATGTTCTAATGGGCATTTGTATCTCGTATCTCACAAGCGTCGGTAAAATATTTCATGAATTGGTTATGTACCTGCATAAATCCATCTATTAAATGCACAACTGAATTTGGATCTGCTTTCTTCCTGAAAGCTGCCCTACTTGTGTTGAACAAGGGATTGTCACCTGAATGTTTTTGATTATTATGGTAATTTCAAAATTACCATTTTAGGTGTCTGAATCGGTGCAACGCAAAAATAATGTATAAATTTGTTGTCACTTTCTCAGGTTACAGAAGTGAATTTGAACAACATGTTGTGCCCAGCCGTCTCAGATCCTTTTTATGGGCCCTGGTATCGAATCTGGGCATCTGGACATCAGACTGTCATGACCATGACTCATGGGAAGCTTGTAATCCTACTGTTTTACAGTGCTGTCCCCATCTTTAAATGTAGCGTGGACTTGCTTAGACTCCCAGCTAAGAAAATAGACTGAAATTGCTCCCCACGGAGTAGTACATACAGGAAGCAGAGATACTTATACTGGAAAACAAAGAGGAGGGATGAGAGGACAATGTGTTTATACTTCTCCCCACAGTTTATTGCCTCAAAAACACCTCTGTAATCAAGTGAGGGTTTTTTAAACTGCTGTTTCTCACTGCCTATTGCCAATGGCAAAATTAGTGGCCTTATTCTGGAAAAGGTTCGTGTTTTATACATTTTGTGTAGATTACAGGAGAATCTTGCTAAGCCACCATTTAAAATCAGGCCAGGATCTGTCCACATTCCAGCGAAGAGAGTGGCGGTGCTACCTCGTTTCGGCTTATTTTCCATTAAATATAAGTACACTTATGTCATAGGATAGGAAATAAAACTGAGTTACAACACTGCACTGATGTGAACGGAACACATGTTGAAGTGCATCATCCTGGCTTAACTCTTAGCACTTGAATGTTGCAAAATGGTCACGGTGAAATGATGTACACTTAATCTCCAGTCGTAAGTGCAGAACAGTGAGGTTCTACTGTATTTTCTTTGAGCTGGTTGAAAATGTTGGGGAACAATAACTCATTTAAAAAACAAAAAAATTTTTTTAATTGACTACTTAATTTCTAAGGTGCTGTGGATAAATATCTATCTGGCTAAGTCCCATCAGATCATGACGCTTTGGAAATGCTTTTATCTGAGTGAGTGGAAAAACACCATGTTGAAATCATTTCAAAAGACCGTGTTACGTATAAGCTATGATAAGATATTTCATCCACTGCCCTGACCTGACTTTGAACAAAATGGGTTTTTCACTTCACTTTGACTGGAGAGGGAGTGGAGATACACAGTCCAATGTAAACATCAGTGTTCTCTTTTTTTTCCTTACTAGCTTTCGAAACATTCCTCCTCTGTGTTCTGCACTGATCCTCACTCAGGAGAGCGGTTAGTGAAGGAACAAAATGAAACCATGTTCTCTCTCTACAGCTCTAATTCTGTAGACTGATTTTAAAATACAGATAACGTCAAATCAGTGCAGGCCTCTACTGAAAAGAAAGTGTTCCAGTTTACTGGTATGACTAAATCTTCCTGTCAACGTCTTTTGGAGAACAGGATGTAGATAGGCAGAATAATAAATAGTAAACTGGGTGTACCTGTTCACATTTTCCAAGGCTAGAGGAGAAACTGTTGGGCAGAACGATGGGAAATGTTGAGCGTGTTCCCCCAGACAGTTAACTCTGAGTCTGTTACGCAGACTGCTGTGTTTCAGGGCGGCAGGAATTTTGTTGTACAAAAGTTTGTTGCAATTTGTAGATTCATTGTGTTGTCAAAGCTGTGACTTGTAAGATAAAACAAAACCATCATACCTCCTCCAGCTGGATCACCTGAAGATACATCCTGAAGTTAAGGTACAGTCATTTATACCTCAAGAAGGAAAAGGAAGAATGAGAAGTGGTTGACTTTTTTTTTTCCCCCCTTAAAAAAGAAAAATTTTCATTGGAGAGGGAACAAATGGCTACTTCAAATATTTTTACTCCATATGATAAAAAAAAAGTACACCTCAATCAGAAATATATTGTCCCACCTTCTAACTTACAAACCACTTTCTGGCTTTCTTCCATGCCTTGCTGTGTGTATATGTATGCATAATAAATACACTGTACTCTCACAACTTGAAAGCATGCGACATACACCCGAACTGTCCATCCGAGGGGCATAGCTGGTCTGGGTCATACAGGCTGTACGGCTCCTTGCGTTTTTAATCAGAATTCAGCTAGAGGAGGCTAAGCGCCTGATGGTAAGAACTACCAGCACACAGGGTTAACTGTTGATCCTGCAAATGTCCAAGGACGTAAGGAATTTCACTGGGTAGTCGCGCTGCTGTCTCTGTAAAGCTGGGCATACGTTGCTTAAGTGTTTGTGGTGTGGGGCCTAAAGACAGAACGTGTTGGTATTGAAGGCCTGAATCTGTCTGCGGGACGCCACTTAATTCGCTGCTGAAGTGACAGAAGTTCTTGCTGTTTTATGTCAGCAGATTCGGTATTTCATGATGAAATACGGGATGTTGCTGGGAGATGCCAAGATGCACAGGGCTGGTTGTTAACGTGTGCCCCCTGTTAATATCCTTCATCTCCCACAAAGAGCTGAATGAAGCGACAGCGATTCTTCCCTCCCCATGGTTACTGTCAAGTGTATCATGGTTTATTTATTTACTTAAGAATTTAGCAAAATGCCATATATTGGATTCAGTCCTGTTTAGAAGGAATGTTTGGTATTACAATAGAATGATTTTAGCCAAACTTTGCAAATGTTATCTAGCATTATTGTTTGCTTAACTTTACTTATGTGTTGGGTTTTTTTTTTTTTCTATCCCGCTTATTTTTTCTTCAGAAGAGCGTAGCTTCTGGAAAAATTTCTGAGTTACATGAAAGTAGCAGCACTTTTTTTTTTTTTCCTCTCAGCTCCAACCTTTCCCACCTATAGTCATATGCTCCAGGGCATTCTAAACAAGAATAAACCAGCTGCTGTTTGCCACCATTGACTGCCTCTGGTCAATTAAGACTGCAGAAGCGTTTAGAGAAGCTCAGGTGTCTCACTCAGTGCAGGCTGTTTGCTCGGAATGCAAAATTTGTGAGTTCTTCTGATTGTCTTAGAAGTCAGTAGCAGGAATTTTTTTATGGCAGTGTTAAACGTAGCCGATGTGAGGGAAATCCCTGGGGCAGTTTGGATGAGAGGATTCTTGGTGCAGTTGTACTGTTTGCACCATTGACTCTGGTAGCAGAGCCTTGTTAAGGGATCCCTCCCACCCCCTATCACAGATGCCCGTTTCTGGCACGGGGCTGCTTTTCTCAGTTACACTGGTCCAGTTGGTTTGAGTCGCACTAGAAGTTTAAGGCATAATTTCACAACATGGCATATTTTTCCATCAAAGCCAATGGGACACGCCTATTCCCCTTCCAAACCTTACCTGTGCAGGTTCTGGAGCTTGTTGAACTCTTCTATACCAATTTAAGTTGCTAGAACAGCTAAGTGAACAATTTAATTCAGCAAAAAAGGAGAGAGGTAAGCCAACTCCTACACTCAGTAAGGATTTTAGAAATATTGGAGCTGCTGTAAGAGAGTCGAATGGTGCAACTGGAGTCGGGTGGGAGGGAAGGCAGTGGAACCTTCACCTCTTTTTGATGGTAAACTGTTGCTGCTTTGCTTGTTGTACAATACGAATGAAGCTGGCTGAGTTAAATAGAATCGTTTAGGTTGGAGAAGACCCTTAAGATCGAGTCCAACCGTTAACCCAGCACGGCGAACCTGCCCTGGTGCAACTTCAGGCCATTTCCTCTCGTCCTATCACTTGTTACTTGGGAGAAGAGGCCAACACCCATGTTGCTACCCCCTCCTTTCAGGCAGTTGTAGGGAGCGATAAGGGTTCCCTTCAGCCTCCTCTGCTCCAGGCTGAACCCCCCCAGCTCCCCCAGCTGCTCCCCATCAGCCTTGGGCTTCAGACCCCTCACCAGCTTCGTTGCCCTTCTCTGGACACGCTCCAGCGCCTCAGTGTCTTTACTGTAGTGAGAAGCCCCAAAATTAAATTACTCCCTCAGTCCCCTTGCCCCTTTTTGAAGGCTTTTTAAACTTAGTATTTCATTTTGGTTTATGGTATGGTGCCACAAGAAACTGTATCAGCATTGCTGAGACACAAGCTTCACAGAAGGTGAAGAACAGGTCAGAACGGGAGCAGAAAGGGAAGCAACTTCTGAAGCTGATGTTGTGGAACTTCACATCCTTTTTCCTCAGCTGCCTCTGGTATCTGTTTGGAATGTGCGTCAGACAGAGCTTGTTCAATGTGCAGGGTATTGGTTTGACTGGGAAAGCAGAATACTTAATCTCCACCGGGGTTATTTATGCTCTTCCCTGGCAGAGGCTGACTTTTCTTTTCCCTGAATGGTTTATTTTATAGGCAGTTATGCTATGCGGATGATTGCTTTGGTTGCTTTTATGCTTATTTATGCTGGAAATTAAAGAGCAAAACTATACTGCTGTTCTTGAAAGCTAATCGGCGTTCTCTCCTGCGGTCTGAGGCACACAGCTGCCGTCAAGGTAACTCGAAGCTGTTGCCCAGTACCTGGTGATGAGATTCTGCATTGCAGCAGTGCAGTGTATAACTGAAAGGGTAGTCTGGGTACTCCCTGGTGAAATGTTCCTAAATCTCTTTTCACAGTACTAACAAACAGTTACGAAATGTCAGCAGTAGCGATGGGGCAGAGGAGGAGGAGGAGGAGGAGGAGGAGGGCCGTACAGCCAGCCTCATGCTGCCTTTCAGCAGCAGCTTCAGCAGACTGTAAAAATCTCCCCCTGAAGGGGACTGGTTTGCTGTCCACGAGCAAGTCAGGCACAGTATCAGAAAAAAATTTCTTGTGCAGTGCTGATATCTGGACTTCATGGAGAGGTTGGTCTGTATTAAAGTGTCTGAACAGAGCCCTCTGCTCTCCTCATTTTTAGTGCTGCAGGCACTTCAAACAGAAGAACCAAGGAGCGATGGAATTGATTTTGCTGCCAGGGAAGGACTGTCTACATTTACCTCCAAATGTACACATAACCGAAGTATTCGTAACTCCAGTAATCATCTTGTTTACTGAGTGGTTTGTTCATGCAGCCTTAGCGTAAGTAGCCCTGCAAAGCAGCAAAGTGAGCTAGTAACACTTCTGCACCCACCGTAACAGCCGGTGAGTCAGCCTGCGAATATCGAGATTATCGTGCCATGGCCATAGCAGTCCAGGATCCGTGCAGTGCTGGTTTTGGAGGAGTCAGACACGGTAAGCTGTGTTTGAGCTGTATCTATTTGTTTAACTAACTTCCTCCTATGTAAGCACCAAAGAAGATTTTTTTTTTTTTTTTTGCATCTTGTTGCTTTTGAAGCATGCAAATCAACAGCTCTGGGCCGTGCATGTAGAAAACAATGAAAAGCCAGAGTCTATGAACACACCCCCAAACTTGGGTTTGGTTCAGCTTCCCAGGGCTCGACAAATGCTGCTTTTAAGCAAAGTCTACTTGTGCTTAAGCAGTGCTGCCCTGCTGAAGTTGGGAGCCATGAAAAGTCAAGTCTATTTGCATACCTTAAGATTATAGAGTACCTCCTTGTAGAGTTACCCATCTATTTCTGGCCACAATCAGGGTTTTGCTAGTTCTGTGTAGTTGCTATCATCGTGTGAAGCCCTTTCAGCAGTGTCTATGTGCAACTGTTAAATGACTATACTTTTATGTCCCAAGTCTTGCATCTAAACCATCGGCATTTGTTCCCTATGCATCTATAGCTAATGGAAAATATAAATGTGCTGTTTTTATTGCTGGTGCAATTTTTTTTCACTAGAGGTGGATTCTTAGGCATTAAATTGGTCCTAATGGTTAACGAAGCTCTGAAAAGGCCAAAACCAAGGAAGAGGGCACCCGTCGGCCCTTCTGTTAGGAGGCAGAGAGGTCAACATTGATGGTTTCATTTTTACAGTGACAAGACTCGTAACAAATCTGTTGATTTTTGTGATCTTGTACTCAAGTGATTGCTGTAAATCTGTCTTGCAGCTTTTAGTGTAACCTAGTCAAAGCCAAGCAGTTTTGTTTTGGGTTTGTTTTTTTTTTTTTAAATGATTTTATTTTTCTTCAGAGTCAATTTTGTACTTTTTTAAAAAATTATTTCTGCATTTACTGAGTCATTATCTATCTCAATGCTGCAGAGGACGCAGCAGGCAGGACAGCGAGCAGACCCCCACCACTCTCACCAGCCAGACTGTGCGAGGGAGCTGGCGTTGCTCAGGCACGGGGCTGAAGCACCGAGCAGTCTTTGGAGACCCCCAGTTCCAGTTACCCACCCCTCTAGGTCAAGCATGGCGTTACCCAGGCACAGAATGGTACGGCAAGGGCAGCTGTGGGAAGGCTCAACTGCCACATATGCTGTTAGTTCTGAATAATTTGTAAGTGTTATAAATTTTGTAAACTTTTTAGTGTGCTAAAACTTGGTTATGAGGTAACATTTATAAATAAGGGGTAATTTGTGTACTTGGTTTTTTTGTATTTTGGTCTGATGGGGGGGGTTTTGTTGTTGTGCCCCAAGTCCAGATCACTGGGCAAATAGTTGTTAACCCTTTGAATTAAAACAAATAAATGCATTTTCATGGATACTGTACACTTTTGTTATCATTCTGATCGTGCCAGGCACCCAGTCTGTCTTGCTGAAGACTTTTTAAACCTAGGTAAAAACCCCAAATTGACTTAAATTTGTAGTATTAACTGTTAGAGGCACAGAGGGACTTTAATCTTAGACAGCTAATCATCAAAGCAGGTAAGAATATGGATTCTCCTGTCTTAAGCAGCCTGCACTGCTCGATGGTGTCTGTCTTGCACAGAGCAGTTTCTGTATGTGACAGCAATGGTCACAGGGATTTCGGGAAGTTTTAAGTGTTTAAGTATGACCTGTGCCCGTTACCTGTCAATCCAGCCAAGCCTGAGTTTACTGGCAGACCTCACTGTAGGACGTAAATCCTTTAATCACTGTTTAA